TTTAATGTCATTTCTACTATTGTTGTGTTTATTGTGAAGTGGGTTGATTGGATGATACATGTTGACAAATTGTTTTTGTTAATCATGTACCAACTAGTGGTGTTATCTTGTAGTGTTTGTGGCCGTCAATGATAGTCTTTAACCAATCGAACTTGAGTGATCGGGTGAGACATGATAGATTATACCTAGAGTGCCGACAAGCCATTATATTGATTTACCTTACCTTGTAGGTTTAGGGGATCATAGAGGGTGGAGGAGAATTGTGTGAGTTGGTCCATGTCGAACCAAAACCATAACGGCAACGTTTTTATTATAAAGTCTCCATTAGTTTTAATTTCAAGCTTTTATTATTTGAATTTAGTTTGTTTAATTTACTTAATCAAATTTCCAATTTCATTTCCGATACTCAAATATACATTAGGTTGTTAGTCCTACTTTCTGTGAATTCGACCTTGTTTACCTTTAACTGCGGTATTTAGGTTTAATTTTGTGGCTATGATGACCGGTTCAACAATATGGGCCTATTTATGTGTTTCGGTTGGCTTGGTTTTCTCAGTTTGGGCTTGGATCAATTTGGTTGTTTATCGAATTTGAGCCAATATTTGGTGTGCCGGGTGTAATTGGATTTGTTGTGGTTTTTGGGTTTGGATCCATTTTGTTTTGAAGAACTAATCCTATAATTTGTTTTGCATGAAAAAAAAAAAAAAAAGGTAAGGGATAGGAGTTGGATTTTTAGTACGGAACAAGGAGAGTAGCTGGTAGGGCAACCTACTCTGACACTATGTAAGAATTTGATATTGGAGTAGCATAAAGAAGCAACTGAGTTACCACAGAGTGCATGTAACACCCCACTTGAGGTACGTACTTAAGATTTACTGTATTACTTAACAGTTCATTGATTCAGTTTCAATTGAGTTTGTATGTTGTATTGGTATGTGTTTACCTTGGTTTTGGTTGAGATTTGGTGAATTTTGGAAATCCAATCTTCGCCGGGGCGAAGGAGAATCTTCGCTGCGGCGATGAGGTGCTGCACCCATGGGTAGGTTCTGCCATGTTTCGCCGGGGCGACGGAATGTTCTTCGCCGCGGCGAAGAGCTTAACAAAAAATTTCTTGAGTTTTCTAGAGAATTCTTCCTTTGGGGCATAATGACCTTTCTACCCCCAATTAGTAGGAAAAGTGGGGAGTAAAATGAAAGGAAATTTAGTAGAGAATGTGTTGGTGATAAGGATGTAATTGTAAAGAATCAAAGGATATAGATGAAATTTCCAAGGAAGAGCAAGGGCAAAATGGGAAACTATATATATATATATATATATATTATTATGTAATAAGAGTTCAAGAGTAGAAACCCTAGCCACTCTATCCCTCCATTCATGTCATTCTCTACTCAAATTCTCTCAAATTTCTTCACTAGATTTCAAGGAAATTCATAGATTTTGGGTATTTTTGAGTGGATTTTCAATCCTAAGCATCCAAAGGTAAGATTCTTGCATCAAGATGTGAGATTAAATTTTAAAGTTTTGAATTCTTATGGTTTTATATGCTTAGGGTTTAAGAGAAAAGGGAATTCTATCAAGGAGAGATTATAGTGTTGGAGTTGCTCAAATTCTAGGTAAGTAAATCCAACCAAGTTGAGAATTCAAGAAAAGTAAATGAGTAGAGATTTATTTTAATTATGTATATATATGTTACACTTACTGAAAAATTGAGATGAGATGTGTGTTTAGTCATAGTTATTGGATATGCTTAAATTATAAGTGTTTTTGATGTGTGATGAGATAGTGAAATTGAATTGAAGTTGGAGGAGTTTTGTATGAATATTTTTGGGAGTGTTTTCTTTGGCAGGAATTATGACTATGTGAGGGAGTTTCCTCCCATTTTGGATGATTAAAGAGAAGAGTAGAGTTATAGATAAGTAGAGCTTGGGCATGCATATGAGTTGTTTGATGAAATGCCTAAGTGAGAAACTGCCCTGTCACAGCCGTGACTTTTTGAGTAATTTTTGGGCATCTTACAGATTAAACTGGGCTCAGACCAAAACATAAAAGTTATAGCCCTGTCTCTAAGCTTTAAAACGAGACCAAAACCGTAGCAATCCGATGTGTATAACGCAAGTTATGCCCTTTTTAGTGTGACCTGTGTAGAATGACGATTTTAGAGCAACATTGCATTTGTTCATTTCATGAATGCATTAATAAGCATGAATCATCCATATTCATTAGTTATGCATTAGAGAAAGAGTAGAAAAAGAGTAGAGAACTTTGAGTGTGAGCTTTCTTAAGAGAAAAGAGAGAGAAAAAGAGAAGAGAGTAGGTTGTGCGATGGGGAACCTGTGAGTTATGGGTAGAGTATTCCCGCATGTACGCGGCATTGAGAGAGCGGCATGAGTATGAGAGAGAGAAGTGGTGTAGCCCGTGAGAGTGCATGCGGATGAGGGCTATACCCGAGAGTACCCGAGAGAGAGAGATTATACACTCACATGGCCAAGGGTTCCGAATCCATGCATAACCGAGTCCGATCAGTTAGAATGAGTAGAAGTCACGTAGAGTGGGAGCGAGTCCCGGCCGTGCCTCCGGTAAGATGAGGCCATGACTACTAAAGAGAGTTAGTAGAAAAAGTTATGAGAAAGAGAAAATAGAGAGAAGTGTTAGAGAGAGAGTAAACGAGAATTGTAAGGAAAGAATTAGAGAGAGATAGTTATGGGGATAGATGCGTAGAGGATTTACTTACTGAGCATTATTTGTGCTCACCCCATTGTTTTTCATGTTTTGTTGGATCTAGGTGAGGACACGGTCGGATGGACGTCGGCAAGCGAAGGGAAATGGCTACACTGTCCTATTTTTGATGTTTTGTACATGTTACAATGTTTGTGAAAAGAATGTTTATGTATATAAATATGTTTAATGAAAGAAAAATTTGGGCTCAACTATTTATGTTATTTTACATGTGTTTTCATTATGTGCATATTTTATGAGCATTTGAATAGAATGGAGTTATTACAGTGCAAGAAAAAGAGAGGCAAAAGTAGCAACTTTTAGTTGCTGATTATGCCAAGAGAATACAAGCAAGAAAGAAAGAGAAAAGATTAATTTTTGTATATTGTATATCATGTACAAGAGTTACAATTTATTGTAAATGTAACATGTAAGGAAATAAAATAAAAAGAATAAATATAAAATCAATATAGACAAGGCAATAATATAATTCTACCTAAGCCCTAGTTAGTAAAAACGGGTATTATACCCGAATTGTACGGATAGCCGTATAATTCGCGTGTAAAAAACGCGTATATGTATTTTGTAAAATCTGCCGTATAATTTGCATATAATAAGAGTTCCCGTATAATTCGCGTATAATTCGTGAATTATTCGCAAATTTTTGAAAAAAAAAAAAATCTCACCCCCAATACAACGTCGTTTTAGTGGGTGTTTAATAAAAATTAAAACAGGTCTCTCTTCTTCGGTTCTTCTTCAGCTCTTCACTTCTTCTTCCTCAGTTCGGTTCTTCTTTTTCCTCAGTTCTTCTTCAGCTTTTCTTCCTCAGTTCTTCACGTTTTCAGCTTTCTTCATCTCTTGTTCTCTTCTTCCAGGCTTCTTCTTCCTTATATTTGTATTTGTTACTGTGGTTGGTCGTGAGGACTCTGGGCTTGATTGGTTGTCTGGTTACACGAATGGCTTGAGGGGATTGTGATGGATAGTGGCTTCTTTAGAGGGCGTGAAGATGTAATAGAGTCCTAGGATCAAGAAAAAGAAAAAGATTTGAAAGTTGTGAAACTTTCTCAAGAATGGCTTGAGGGGATTGTGATGGATAGTGGCTTCTTTAGAGGGCGTGAAGATGTAATAGAGTCCTAGGATCAAGAAAAAGAAAAAGATTTGAAAGTTGTGAAACTTTCTCAAGAACCAAACAGAAATTTCAAAAAAGAAAGAGAGAGAGAGAAAATGTTGAATCTTTCCAGAACTAAAACTTATTTTTTATTTGCTTAACTTTTTCAACTGAATATTAAATTTCTTTTATACAAGCATCAGCCACGTTGGCCATCCTTTACAAAATAACATCTCGACCGTTGATCATTCTTCTAGCATCTCCACCATTGATCAATTGTAAAACTTCAGCTGCCTTGTAATCCTCCCTCAAGCCAAGCAGTAAAACTTTGGTAGCTTGCCTGTGGAAAATTTCAGTACCTTGTTAAGTTCATATCTATATTATATTTTTATATAATCTGTGTAATGTGAAGTGTTGATGGCAATTTTGGATGTGTTTATATATTGTGTATTTGTGTTATTGGTTAATTGAATACTTTGCATTTGAAATGTTATGTTGATTTTAACCAGGTAGTCCATAAAAGTGTTAAAACTAAAATTGATATTGCCGTATTTTTTAAAATGTATTATTGACAATGCACCATATTAAATCCATATATACCCGTACCATATTTTTCCCGTATCTGAATTTTATGGCCGAATTTTTATAAACATATTTTTCACCGTTTACCGTATTACATTTTTTTGCCATACCTGTATTTACTAACTAGGACCTAAGCTACCATACTTGGACACCATCAAATATTATAAATCTTCTAAATATGGCGTGTACAGTCATTCACATGTCAACAGTTTTAAACCATAACTTAAATCAATTAACAGCCAAGCAAACTAAATATCTTATTTATACTATTTATATAAAACAAGGGTCACAATAAACATCCAGTCCACTTTTTCCTGTGACTTTTCTACCATATTTGGTGTTTTGGTCTATGATCTTTTCATGTATATGTATCTTTGATTCTTTCTCTAGTTCGTACAATTGATTCAATTAAGTGACTGTAATTCACTTAATCCTTTGAAACTTTGATATCTCTCATGGCGTTCTGGCATTTTAATCTTCTTTTGGTTTTGATCTCTGCCTGAAGTACCAAGAATCTCATTGATTCTCTTCTAGTTTAATTCACTTTATTTTATTATATTTCGTGCTAAGCATAATACCAATTATGTGATATTATTTTCCAGGAAAAGATGCTGCAGTTTTTACGTTGCAAAACAAATGCAAGGAAAAAGTATGGCCTGGGATTCTAAACGGGACGGGGAAACCTCAACTCGCTAATGGAGGACTTACTTTGAATCCAGCACAAATCGTGCACATCAATGCGCCAATTGGGTGGTCTGGCCGACTTTGGGCACGGACTGGCTGCACATTTGATCCGTCAGGTAAGGGAAAGTGCATCATTGGTGACTGTGGTGGTGGTCTAAACTGTGCAGGGGTAGGAGGTGCACCTCCAATATCACTAGCTGAGTCTACACTCAGCAGCCCAATGGATTTTTATGATGTTAGTCTTGTTGATGGCTACAATTTGCCGATTTTTGCAATCCCTTCCGGCAGTACATGTGATAAATGCAAGGCTATTACGTGTGTGTCGGACTTGAATCAAAAGTGCCCCAATGAGGTACAATCGGTAGAGAAAGGCAAAGTGGTAGGATGTAAAAGTGCATGCATAGGATTCAACAAGCCTGAATCTTGTTGCACTGGTGCTTTTGGAGACCCTAATACATGCAAACCAACCCAATTCTCCACAATATTCAAGGAATCTTGTCCGATGGCTTATAGTTATGCCTATGATGATCTGACTAGTGCCTTTACTTGCAATGGAGCTAATTACTTGATTAGCTTTTGTTGAAGTTTCTTTACATAGTGACTTTTAAAAATATGTAAATGCATACATTTGCATTGCGATTTTATGGGATAATGTTAGATGAAAAATGTATTATATGACTATTTACATACTAATCATGCATATGTATTCAGTATGCATTGCATTAGGGCTGAGCGATTCTAGGTACCCTCTATTTTTTGGAGGAACCGGAACTAGAACCACACAGTGCAGGTTCCCAAAAAAAGGAACCGGAACCAGAACCGCATAGTACAGATTCTTCAATTCAAGGAACCGGAACCTAAAATACAAGTTTCAGTTCCTTTCCCAGGTACCTTATAAAAAATAAATTATCCTCTATTAGTTTAAAAAATGACAAAAATACCTTAAAAGTTTACAAATACACCCCTAACAAATTTTGATTACTCATTCATTTGTGTCCAATGTAACTCATAACTTGTAAATTTAATATTATAAATTAATAATGTTTATAATGTAATATAGTAATGTTGTAATTAATTAAGTAATTATTAAATTATAATACAATGTTATAATTAATTAAGTGATCATACTATAATGTAATGTTATACATACTTATAATTATTTAAGTAGTTATTTAACAATAATGTAATATTATAATCAATTAAATTTCTAATAATTTAATTAATTACTTATGTTTAATGTTTATAATATAATGTCATAATTAATTAAGTAATCATTTAATTATGTAATGTTATAATTAATTAAGTGATCATAATATAATATAATATAATAATGTTATAATTTAATTGAGTAATTATTTAACTATAATGTAATGCTTAATTAATTAAATTTCTTATTATTTAATTAACTAATCATTTGTTTATAATGTAATGTTACAATTAATGTTTATAATATAATCTCATAATCAATTAATAATTAAATAATCATTTAATTATAATGTAATATTACAATTAATTAAGTAATCGTACTATAAATTTATAATGTAATGTTATAATTAATTAAATTTCTAATCATTTAATTAAGTATTGTACTAATGTTTATGTAGTAAATTAGTAATTACTAATGTTTATAATATAATGTCATAACTCATAATCAGTTAAGTCATTATTTAATTATGTAATGTTATAATTAATTATGTGATCATACTATAATATAATGTTATAGTGAATTAAGTAATCAGACTATAGATCTTTAATGTAATATTATAATTAATTAAATTTTTAATCATTTAATTAAGTAATATAATAATGTAGTAAATTATTAATGTTTATAATGTAATGTTATAAATTTATAACTAATTAAGTAATCATTTAACTATGTAATACTATAATTAATTAAGTGATCATAATGTAATGTAATGTAATAATGTTATAATTTAATTAAGTAATTATTTAACTATATATAATATTTAATTAATTAATTTCTAATCATTTAATTAAGTAATCATTTGTTTATAATATAATATTATAATTAATGTTTATAATATAATGTCATAATCAATTAAATAATCATCTAATTATTTAATGTTATAATTAATTAAGTAATCATGTAATTATAATATAATGTTACAATTAATTACGTAATCGTACTATAAATTTATAATATAATATTGTAATTAATTAAATTTCTGATCATCTAATTAAGTATTATGCTAATGTTTATGTAGTAAATTAGTAATTACTAATATTTATAATATAATGTCATAATCAATTAAGTAATCATTTAATTATGTAATATTATGATTAATTATGTAATCATACTAAAATGTAATGTTATAGTAAATTAAGTAATCATACTATAAATCTTTAATGTAATATTATAATTAATTAAATTTTAATCATTTAATTAAGTTTGTACTAATGTTTATAATGAAATTTTATAATTGATTAAGTAATTATAATATAAATCTATAATGTAATGCTATAATTAATTAAATTTCTAATTATGTAATTAAGTAATATACTAAATGTTATAACTTATAAGTTAGTTAATTAAGTAGTAATCAATTAATGTAATGCTATAATTAATTATACTATAAATCACTTAAGTAATATTATAAAATTATAATTAATTAAGTAATCATTTAACTATAATGTAATGATATAATTGATTAAGTATAATATTTAACTAGTAATAAAATTTATTAATGTTTATCAATTTATCATATATAATTAATTAATTACTAATTTACTATAGATATACATAGAACTTGATAATTGAAGTAAATAACTAAATATATTATTATTCAATCAAATATACTATTTATTCAAAAATAATTCTTTTAATAACATTAAAAACTTAAAACACTTTTAATTGGATCATAATTCCAATTATTCACTTAATTAATCAAAACTTTAATATTAATATATTATAATATATTAAAGTTTTTAATATGGTATAATTTATATGTAATAAGTATAATTGTATATTTATTTAATTAGGTTATTCTAAAAATTTAAGTTTTTCTATTTTTATTTTTTTTAATATGTAAAATAATAGAAACCCCTCATTATTCACATTTCACAAATATTTCATTGCAGTCTAGGTTCCAAAACAGGTCCAAACAGGTTTCAAAACAAGTTCTAAACAGGTTCTCAAACAGGTTCCAAACAAGTTCCAAAACAGGTTCCAAAAATCAGTTCCGAACAGGTTCTAAACCGGATACCCGCTACAGGTTCCAAACAGGGTACCCGTTTTAGGTTCTTTTTCCAGGTTCCGGTCTCGGTCCCGGTTCCGGTTCCTCCACACACAAGAACCGAAACCAGAACCGCACAGTATCGATTCCAATAAAATGGAACCGGAATCTACTCACATAGTGCCGATTTCGGGTAGGTTCTGCTTTCGATTTTGGTTCTACCCACAGGTTCCTATTCTACCCGCTACTCGTGCTCACCCCTACATTGTATTATTATCTTTTATAAGAGAACTGACGTGAATGACCTAATTGCCCTCATCCTTCCTATGCCTAACCACCCGACCCACCCTTGCCTTTGCACATCGTCACTAGGTTTTTATTTTATATTTCTTTTAAAGGTTTTGATCTTGACCGCATAAGATTTGATCAACTAACAAAAGTCCCCCTGATATTTAAAATATAAGAAAAATCCTCCTGCCTTTGTTAGTTGTTGGTATACTGTTGGAGTTTATGATGTTCAAACAACATTAGTCTTATATAGAGCAAATAATATTCTACATTAGAACAAGCTTCCTTTTTATGGAAACTCTTACTTACACGTTAACTGGGTGTCTCACTTTGTCATAATTCTAATACATTAATAGAGTCGGCGGTAGGACATGCCATGCCTAAAAATTCAAGGTTTATCGTGTCATGTTGAGGCCTGTAGAAATCCGTGCCTGCAGGTCTTGCCATAGGCCTAGCACATGGACTGGCCCGCGTGCTTTGTGGACTAGCCTACAAATTTTGTTTTTTAATATTTAATATTTAATATTCATAAATTATGGTAATTTTGAATTATTATTAATAATTATTATAAAATATTATTATATGTTATATTTAACGACATCTTTTATTGGTATTAATTAAAAAAATATATAATCACTATAAAATATAATAAAATAATGAGACATTGAAATATTAATTGAATTTCAACATTTTTTTTATTACTTATAATTATAAATTACAGATGCCAAACTTAAGGATTAAGGATTAACATTAACAATTACATATCCGTTAGAAATACAAGTATACAAATACAATACAATTATCTCAACTTTGATTCTAGTTTACAAATATTCAAAGAAATTAATAAAAATGAAGATGTATGATATTTTTTTTTTTTTTTTGGTTGGTAACCTCCTCCACCATCTTTTTCATTATTAAGGATGTATACGAGCCGAGCCGAGCCGAGCTGAGTATCTCGGTACTCAAGCTTGGCTCATGATGAATAGTAGCGAGCTCGGGCTCTAGCCGAGCTTAGTCGAGCTTCAATATTTGTGTTTGAACTCGAGCTCGCCAGTATGAAGTTACACTTGAGCTCGAGCTCGAGCACGCTTAAACGAGCTCGAGCCTGATCGAGCTCGGTACAGTTGTAATTTTAAATCCTCAATAAAACAATAAAACAAAGAAATCAAATGAAGATAAGCAAATACATAATCATAATCCAGATGACAATGTCAGAAAATAAAGTTGTTTAAATTTTTACAGGCCTCACAACTTCGGTTAAAATAAACTAGGATGTACTTTTCAAGTCAACTACTTGTGTCTCTTGACCTAACCTAAACTACATATTGAAGATCCAAGTACTGGAGTAGTGTCTTTAGCTTCCCTTGCAAATCCCATGATGTTAGCCTTTATCATGTCATCTAACTTTCCATGATTGACAGACAAAACATCAGTGGTCCCTTCTGTTGGAGTTGTCGACTACTTCAGCATTAATGGGTAACGGAGACGCACTCGGGTGCCCCCGAGCCCGTAGGCGGTTTTGGGCTTTTCCATGTATAACCGCTGTAGGATTTCTTTTAAGTTATTAATTCCTTTTTGGGTTGGGCTTAGGAATAGGAATCCTTGTAAAACTAGGTTTAATCTCTTAAACCTAGTATATAAACATACTTTTCTCTTGTTATGAGTGTTAAGAGCAATTCATTCATTGTAAACGAGAGAGGTGAGACATATTGCAATAATATTGACTCAGCTGGACGTAGCCCACATTGGGTGAACCAGGGTAAATCGCGCGTATTATTTTTCTTTGTTTACTGTTTGTTTTGTTTTACTATTATTATTTTGTTCCTGTTGTTGTCTCTATTTCGTTCACCTTCTTTCTCATTTCCTTGCTTCAGCATATCCTCAGTCAATAAGTCCAGGTTTCTATCACAACTTATCAAATCTTTCAATTGATCAGCACAACTACCCAAATCATTACAATCAAGCAAAGATACACCGTGTTTGAAGTTTTAGGCAAATATACAACCTTGTTTGAAGTTTTAGATTCATAAATGCTCTAAGGACAAATGCAGAGGACAAAAATTAATTCTTACTGATTTACAGTGACAGTGAATGGCACCAAAGAAGCTTGGTGAGTTGGTGACAGCAAATGGCACCGGAGAACTTGTCCACGACGACGGCGTGACTCGTGAGTGACTGATTTACGGTGAATGGTAGTGGAGAGTTAGGACTTAGGGTTGAATGAAAAAATACCAAATGGGTTTTGAGTTTTTGTTTGAGCTTTGAAATAGGTTTATCGTCTTTGTTTGCGAATGGGTCATGGGTGTTGTTTGTAATTTTGACAACTTAAAAATAAAACAACTTTTGAAATCTTGCAAATTGGCCCCCAAAGCTCGTTTAAGCTAAGCTCAGCTCGAATCGAACTCGGCTCGCTACTGTTCACGAGTTGCTCAAGCTCGACTCGATTGGTTTTGAGTCGAACTCGAGCTTACAACGAGCCGAGCTCGAGTAGCTCGCGAGCTACTCGGCTCGTGTCTCATCCCTATTCATCATATCAGCCTCACTGTTTCCTCTGAAAATCCTGCACCTGTCACCATCCTCATTAAAATACTACTTGCGAGCTTCCCTAATTCACTACCCACGGCCACAACCTCATTTTTACCAGCTTTTTTCAATATTTTGTGTAAGAGTCGCATAACTTCTTTGCATCTAACATTACGTGTCCTTTCAAGGTGTTGCGCTCCAAGTAGATAAGTTACAAAGTTTCTTCATTTGATGTAGGGAAAATAGCGTTAAATTAGGATTTAATTTTGTTTGTCTTTCTTTATTCGATTTTCTTCTTTATTTAGGGTTCTATATTAAGAATTCAAATAGTTTTCTATTTTAATTAAGAGTTTAGTTGATTCACGAAGTTTTAATTTAGTTAAATTTTACTTTCTTATTTTATAATTAGTCAATAGTTGAATTTCTTGTTTTAATTAGTTTTCATGTTTAAGTAGGATTTTATTTCCTTGTTTAATTAGAGTCTAAGCTGTAACCACCTTATATAAACATATTATTTATTTCTTCTGAAGATATAAAATATTCAATTAATTATTCAAATTTATTTCAGATTTTAAGGTTTATGTAATTGAAACTTATTGTCAATTCTAAAGATGTAATTAAGTGCTAATCTTGTTTATCACTGTGTCATCATTAATCTTTAGTAATCTCTATATGCTGCAGTGAAAATCCCAAGATTTCCCAGGAATATACTATCCCCGTAAGGAGATGGAGAGCAATAAGAGAAGTTGACATCATGTGTTTTGAATATTTCCATGGCCACAGAAGCTGATGAAACAACGACACAGTGTGTAAAGCCAAAGCGAAGATAGAGAAGAGGACCATATTTAGTGCCGATTTCAGTGAGGGATTTGTGGAATATTCCGCTCATGAGATGGAGATGACCAATTAGAGGAAGGGCAGGTGGGCTTGGAGGGAGGCGCAAGTGGGTGGTGCTTGATGAGCTGATGAGCATTTTGAAGATAAAGCGAAGAAGAAAGGTGCGGATAATGAAGATGAATAAGGAGATTATGAAGTAGCATTGCATGCCTACGTTAATGGTGGCCATTATTGCAACAGGATTCGACTTTTTCAATTAATTTGCAGAGCTTCTCTTAATTAGCAAGTATTTATAGCTAAAAACTTTCTTCTGTTATGTTAGTCACCAAAGGAAAGCTACATTTTAACAAATGAAAAAATCACTTTAACAAAAAGATCCAATAAAATCTGTTAGATTATGTGGTTATTTTGTCATTGATCATCACTTAGATTATAAGTAAGACTGTGTAATAGAGTAATTGGGAAACTGTTTCTGTAATTAAATTAATAAATTACATAGCTTAAATTCCACATTTAAATCGGAGATATATTGAATATGGAATACAATGCTATGTGTTAGCACTCTTTAGCTTTAGTTATCTTTTGCCTCGAATTGATTAATTAATTACATGAACAGATCATCACCCACTTTGTATCTTCAAAATTTTGAAACATTGATCAATTAATTAGAGAAACTGTATCTCAACTACTTTAATACACAGTCTTTCTTATAACCAAAGTCATGATCAGAGACAATATAAACCACATGCTCTAACTAAGTTTGTTCGATCTTCTAGTAATTGTTTGATAAAATCTAGCCTTCCATTGAAAAACAGAACATAATTAAGTTAGTTTCTGTAGCCATGGAATTCTTCAAAACAAACATGTTGGAGTTATGTCAAGCCAAGTCAGAGAATTAATGGGTAGCTGAGAAGTGTCAGCTCTGTGTAGGCTGATGTAATGAGCACTGAAAAGTAGAGTTAAGTTAGTTGAAGTAGTTGATCCACGTCAGCATTGAGTTAGAGTGTTAGATAATGGATCCATGACTCTTGGCTGAAATTATGCAACACAGATGTATATAAGCAAGTGAGCTTTAAGCTCATAAATCAATGAAAAACAAAAATACAGAGAAATTCTCTCTAGTGTTTTCTCTGTTCTCTCTGTTATTTTCTCTTGTTCTCAGCTTTGGTGAACCTTACAAAAAGCATTTTGTCAATTTCCCATTTCGGCCCAAGTCAGTTTATATATGGAGATAAAATACTCTTTGGAGAGACTCAGGGTTGTCGCTTTCCCATATGCAGATTGCTGGAAATTCATGAAACGTGAGGTGGTCGATGGGTGGTGAGTTTAATTTTATTTTTATCCAAAATTTGCTGGTAAAAACGTAAGAATCGATTTAAGAACAAATTTCAATACAAAAATTGTTCGGCAGAAATACTTTATACAACAGTAGAGAGTGCAATCGGATAAGACCTTAATTGACAGATTAATTCTTTATTTCCTTTATTAATTTGCTATGAGCAGCAGTTAAACAAATGCTATTTGCTTCAATATACATTTGTCCATGCACTGCATACTTGATAACATATTTAAGCAAATGAATTGAAGAGAACCTCAACCTTTGCTAAACAATGAAGGGTTTAGTTTGAAATCAAATAAATATATTGTTGATGCTCGTTTTTGGCACCAACTAATTGTCACGTGCGTATTGCTGATTGGAGGATAAACACACGTGATAATGAATATATGAAGTGAAATAAATGCAAAGAAAGCTTTTAAAGTGGTTCGGATGCTAAGGTAGCAAGTCCTACATCCACTGATTTGTATTGATATTAGTGTGGGTCAGGTCGCAAAGCGGACTGACTTACAGAAGAGTTATGAAAAGTAAATGTGTATACAGGAGAGGGAGTGTTTTTCAATGTAAAAATGGCCGAATCCCCTTAATGAAGGGGTCTTCTTCATTTTATATCAAGCTGAAGCGTGTAATTATCATTAAATTTATGGGTTGGTGTGATTGTCAGGATATAATCCGGCTTTATGTCCCATTGCTCTCTTCCCAAGCTGATTTCGCATGATTTATTGCAGGGGAAAGGGACACGTGTGAGCTCCATATCATGTGGCAGGTCTGACGTGTGCGTGTTGCTCTGACAGGAGCAGGTCACTCTTCATGTGACTTTCCCACGTCAGCCCTTATTTTCCCATGCATAACAGAAGCCCCCTAGTTTTTAAGGTTTAAGGATCGAACATTGGAAACTAAGTCACATCGGAGATTCTGGTCGCTCCGACCTGAATGGGATGAGCTCGGCATAGGACTCTTGGCGAACACGATCTCGCGCAATTCCTTGCCCAAGCGACCTGACAATCTTCATCCTAGCGACTTGGATCTGATGGACGCTCCTTTCTATACCTTAAAGATTCAATGAACCTGGTTCTGCGCTGTCAAGCGCTCTGCACGCGTTAAAGCATTTGTCAGACACATTAAATGCGTTGTGTGTTGACCCGACGCCGTTTTGACAGCATGGGTTGTGTAACGCATTCGAAACGACGACTCTTATCACGACATTTAATGCGACGTGGGGCGCTTTTAATTTGGGGAGAGAGAGAAAGCCGTCGTTTCGGTTCCGAGGGGTGGTAACCGTCGATTCGCAATCCATATAAAAACTCGTATTTTTCAGACGAGGTCACCAAAATTTCTTTTGCTTCGAGTGACAAACCTTCGCAAACCAGAAACCATTCTTTTCCGATCGGCGCTTCTCAGGCAACTGAAATGAGTTTCAGTCTCGGTTACTCATCCCAAAAGGTAAGATTCTCTTCTTCCCCCATTTTTTTTTTTTTTTTTTTTTTTTTTTTTTTTGCATTTGTTTGGTTGGGCCATGGCGTTGGGTCTCCCGATGTTTCACCAGAGACGTGACGCCGTCATTGGATTCGAGCCGTGGATGGCGGCTTGAGTTACTGTTAGGTTTTAAGGGATTTGTCCCACGCTGCCGCGAGGGACATGCGATGGCTAAAATGACCTGTCTGTCGATGTTGCAGACTGGAATGGAACTGTCAACATCCAGACCCGAGGAAGGAGCTAGCTCATCCTCGCGGGAAGTTCCCGAGGATGCAGCCCTCGATGTCTACTCGGTTCTCACCTCTGAGGAATATAATAGAATAAAGAGGCAGTTTGACATCCGCGTGGAGGTGATCCTCGACCACACTAGGTCGTCACGGCGCTCGGCCGATGGCCTTGCCGCGATCTCTGAAGAGATCTTCAAGGGTGGAGGGAGGATTCCCGTCCATCCATTTATCAGGTCAGTCCTGGATCATTTCGGGATCGCACCGATGCAGCTGACGCCGAACGCGTATGTCATCGCTGTCGCGATGTACATCGCGTGCTGCGAGAGCGGCTTGGGAGAGCCAACAGCGGTGGAGCTCGGCATCGCCTACTACCTAAAGAAGAGTAGGGACAAGGACTCGAATTATTTGTCTCGGTGACCTACCATTGCCGCGGGGATACATAGCTATCCCAGCAATGCAGGGGCTTACGAGTCAAAGTTCTTCTTCTTCTTTTATGACGGCTACTGCCGCTTTCAGGATTCAAGTA